CGCGGCGGCCGCCTCCGGCCTGGGGGCGCGTCGGCAGCGCGGCGCGCCACCTCGCTGCTCGACACGCGCCGGACCTGTCATGCGCGGCTGCGCCACCGCTTCCTCGTGCGGCGCCGTCGCCGCCGCCACGCCGGCCGCCTGCTGTGAGCGCCGCGCTGCTCGGCCGCACCCGCCCGTGCCGGCCGCAGCTGCTCTGCCGTCAGCGCCGTCGCCGTCACGGGCCAAGCCGCCGTTGTCGCCGCAGCCACGCCCGTCGGCCTCGCTGCCGCCGGTCCAGCATGGCTGACACCGCCACTACCACGGCACCGGGCAGGGTGAGGCGCTAGAGGGTGAAGGGTGCATAGAGGCGAGGTGAGGCGGCACCTAGGGGCAGTGACCCCCGTGAGCCGGCAAGCCGACGCGCCACTACCGGGCAAGATGGAGGCCGAGCTGCGACCCTCACAGCTCTCGCGGCATGCGTCCAGAGCTCGATTCATCTGCCTCGCCGCTCGCTCGCCGCCTTTTGTGGGACCTAAAGAGAGAGGTTCTGAGCCGTCGGGCGGCGCTGATGGTGGCCCGCGTGGGTGGAGCCCGCGGCAGCTAGGCCGCCTGGGCGCGGGGGGGGTGGTCCGGTGCTTCAGAGGCAGCGTGAGCGACGGGGGGGGCGAAGGATGTGAGGCGGCTCGCCTGCAGCGCCCACCTGCTGGGCCGTCTGGATCTGCGATTACGCCTCGGGAAATGCGAGATCATCCAGAAAATGTCTGCAGACCTCAAACCGATGGCCTCAAAAAGTCGTTGTCAGCCACCGATTTTCCGTGTCGCCCGACCCGCCACCTCACCGGCCCGGCGTTCGGAGGCGTAAAATCTTGGTCGGCCGTTGGGCCGGTGCCATCGGCCGCGGTCGAGTCGACCGTGCCCCGTCTTGGGCACGATGGACATGTGACCGGCTCCGGTCAAGATGTGCCCCGGCATGGCGGATGAGGCTCTCAGGTTGGGCGACGCGAGCGCCGAGAAGGTGGAGCAAGACCTCGCGTCCCCCATGGGCTTGCTCGGTTGGCAGGGTTGGATTTGGGTTCTTTGTGATGCGCCAACTTCAACTTCCGAAACGACTCAACAGGGCCCAAAGACGGGGGAGCGACCGGCCTAGCAGCCCCATCCCACGCCCCACACTGCAGAAGCGCCGCCGCCCATGAGCAGTGCCAACGAGCAACGTCCCGCGAGGACAATCTCACTCAGCCAAGCAGGCTATTGTTCCGCGGCCAGGGCATTGGCAGGCGGATGGTCAGAGAGCTCGAGTGGCACGCCGCCGATTCCCGGCCCCGCAAAAAAAAACTCTGACATTTTACGAACTCCTTGGCGACGTGCGCGTCGCGTCGCCAAGGCTCTGCGACCTCGGTCGTACAATCAGCGACCTCGGTCGTACAATCGGCCGGCTGCGCGGGTTTTCGGCGAGTTTCCCGCGCACCGGCCACGAACTCGACTCGCACAGCAATAAAATCCGGTGCTCGCGCGCCACTCCCACGCTTGACCACACACTCGCTGCACTGCTCAAAGCCAACCCTACCTCACTGGCCGCCTCCAACACTGTCCCGCGCGTCTCGCGCCCCAACTGACAACTCATCATTGTCCCCAACTCGACTCGCACAGCAAAAAAATCCGGTGCTCGCGCGCCGCTCCCACGCTTGACCACACACTCGCTGCACTGCTCAAAGCCAACCCTACCTCACTGGCCGCCTCCAACACTGTCCCGCGCGTCTCGCGCCCCAACTGACAACTCATCACTGTCCCTCGGACACCACTCTCCAGCCGCGCTACCTTCCCCCACCTACCGCTCTCGCACGACATCTCGACAATCCTCATATCTCCAGGCCCAAGACTCCTAACCACTGCCCCTGCTCGCCCAGGACCACCGACCCGAAGGGCTAAGAGGCCCCCACCGGCACCCGCAGCGGCAACGCGGCTGCGCACGGGATCCGAGGGGTGAAGGCTCCGCGGCGTCGAGCCAGAGGGGCTGTCGTGCGGCTTTTTCCGCGCGGAACGCGGCCCCCGGCAGCCCGAACACGCGTGCAGCAGAGGGGTCCGGGACCACTTTTGGCGCAGTGTGGGGCGGGGGGTAGGGGGTGAGGGTGGGAACGGGGGCTCTGTCGTTTCGGTCCAGGCCCCGTACGGCCCGGCCGCGCCGTTTTTACGGCCCCCCAAAAGACCCACAGGGCGTTAAGATCGAAACGGTACACATCGAGGTGGCTGAGAACCCAGTGTGTGCGAAAAGAGATACGAGGAGGCAGACCCCCCAGGGTGGGCGACGGCTAGCGCATCACACCCTCCTCTCCTTAAAATCCCTGTGTGGTGGCGGCGTGCCGTTCTCCCATCCCTCCCTTGGGTTGTGTGTTTTCTTTCTTTCTTTTACCATGTAGCTTGTAGGACGAGTCGAGAAGCGCACCCTGCGCGCAGCGCGGCGTCGCGCGCCAAACCACACCGAGACCGACGCAGGAGCCAGTCCGCAAACCCTCCTGGGGATGTAACTGCTAACTCGCACTGGGCGGACGGCGGTAGGACGGAGGGCGGACAAGAGAACCGCACGCAGTCGTCGTCTCTTGGCCCACATCCAAGAACGTTCCCAAGCACAACGGCCACGTGCACAAGACGCCTCGGGCCACGATCAGTAGAGGTACGGTACGGGGAGGGAGGGGGAGCAGCGGGGCGAGAGGCGCTGCCCAGAGAGGAGAGCGAGGCGGCCGCGAGGCCTAGTTGCTCCGGCTGATGATGTAGTCGGCGAGGCCGAGCAGGGGCGCCGCCCGCTCTCCGTATGGCTCGAGCGCCGCCTTGGCCTCGTCCACGAGCTCGCGGGCGACCTGATTAATAATTAATAATTAATGTCGAACTGATGTTCATTACTCATTGGCCTCGTGCACAAGCTCGCGGGCGACCTGAGTAAGAATGACTCGAATGTCGAGCTGAGAGTCTCGTAGCCTCGCAATCTCGTAGCACACGAGTGCGAGTGTACTTAGCTACTAGCGCTACTGGTAAGCAACAGTCCACACCTCGCGCGAGCGGTCGAGGCCGAGCAGCTTCGGGTATGTCGTCTTGTCGGCGTCGAGGTCCTTGCCGGCCGTCTTGCCGAGCTCCTCGGTGGAGGCGGTGACGTCGAGGATATCGTCCGCGACCTAATTAATAATGAATCATTAAGTATTCATTATTAACGGGCGACCTCGGGTGAGCTCGTCCGATCTCGTCCAATCTCGCGCAATCTCGTCCAATCTCGCGCAATCACGCACTTGGAACGCGAGCCCGATCTTGTTCGCGTACGTCTCGCACCGCGCCAGGTCCTCGTCCGAGGCGCCGGCGAGCGCCGCCCCGCAACAGACCGCGGCCTTGAGCAGCGCCGCGGTCTTGTAGGTGTGTATCCACTGCAGCGTGTCGATCCCGACGTCCGGCTGCCCCTCGCACTTGAGGTCCATCACCTGCCCGCGAGATCGCGCGAGATCACACCACCGTCCCCCGAGATTGCGCCGAGATTGCGCCTCGCAGTAGAGGTCCCATCGCCCGCCCGCCAGCCCGAGCTAATTAATAATTACTAGCCATTGATATTGACTAGACACTGCCCCATCGCCTGCCCGCCCGCCAGCCCCATCGGGCCGACGCTCTCGCCGAGCATGCGCAGGACCTGGACGACCCTCTCCGCCGCCACGCCCTTTGTGTTTGCGGCGACGTACTCGAACGCCTAATTGCTTCATTCACTCGTCATTACGCACTGAGCAATTAGTCTGCGTCGGCGTACTCGAACGCCTAATTGCTTCATTCACTCGTCATTACGCACTGAGCAACTAGTCTGCGTCGGCGTACTCGAACGCCGTCGAGAGCATCGCGTCGCCCGCGAGGATTGCAACGTCGTCGCCGTACAGGACGTGGTTGGTCGGCTGGCGTGGGGAGGGAGAGAACAGCATCGGGCGGGAGGGGACGAGTGTTCTAGGCGGAGGAGAGAGGGGAGAGCGCGCCGGGAGGATGGGGGCGGGGAGTAGGAAAGAGGAGGGGAGGGAGGCAGCCAGAGGAAAGCAGGAGCGGTTCGACAACGGTCTTGGGGAGGGGCGCACCTTCCCGCGCCGGAAGTCGTCATTGTCCATCGCAGGGAGGTCGTCGTGGATGAGAGACATGGTGTGGATCATCTCGAGCGAGACGGCCGTCGGCGTCGCCACCTGCGTACCGGGGGCGCCGCCCTCACCGCCGCCCTCACCGCCGCCCTCACCGCCGCCCTCACCGCCGCCCTCACCGCCGCCCTCACCGCCCTCACCGCCGCCCTCACCGCCGCCCTCACCGCCGCCCTCACCGCCGCCCTCACCGCCGCCCTCACCGCCGCCCTCACCGCCGCACTCACCGGCCACCCTCACCGCCGGCCGCAGCGCCGGCCGCAGCCTCGACACACGACCGCACTCCAGCCCACGTCTTGCGTTGACTTGCACTCCCCAGGCTTGCTCGGAGCCCCGGAGTTGCGCGGACGGCTCCCGACCCCCGCTAACTCCTCCCCTCTCGAGCCCTCCCTCCCCTTGCCTCCCCTCTCAACCCTTCCCTACTTCTCCCTCCCTCCCGCACACTGCGAGGCTGCGGCGTGGCGGCGCGGCGGCAAGGCAAAGGGGCCGGGACGCACCGAGATGTCGCCACCGAGCATCTCCGTCGCCGCAAGGCAGAGCATCGGGCGAACGCGCTTCCCGCCCGCGAGGAGCGAGTAGCGCATCGACTCGACGATGAGGTCCGTCTGGGAGCACGTGCTGCGGAGCGACGCGTCGAGCGCCTCCTCAGTGTACACCCGCTTCTCCTCCATGTAGGCCTGCGGCGGGGCAGTGCGGTGAGGCTGCGCACGACCGGGGCTCTGCGCTCTGAGCACGGGGCATCTCTCGGCCACGAGGGCGTGCGTGGCTGCCGCCGGGCCGGCCCGGCGGGGTGTCTCGGCCAGCGCGCCTTGAGGTCGAATGCCGTGGTGGCGGCCATCGCTGGGTCGACGGCGAGGCGCGAGGCATGGCGCCCGCTCGGCGCGCGGGCCGTTCCGTAGGCGGCACACAGCGCAGGCAGCACGAGGAGTCTGAGCACCTCCATGTCCGAGCTGCGGATGAGGGAGCTGCGGACAAAGAATTCTTTTCGGCGCGCCCAGCGACGCGTGCCGGATGGAGTCCGGCCGCGGGTGACTAGGGAAGTTCGCTCAGGATGTGTGGCAGCCGCCCTGTTGGCTGAGTGTGGTTCTGTGTGTCGCTCCTGTGTGACCGTCATCGCCTGTCTAGCGTCCACCCATACCGCGTTGGTGTCCCAGTCGTTGGTCGGACTGTGTTTCGCCTTCCCATCAATCAATCAACAACACTGGCCACGCCGAACGTACCGAACGTAGAGCCGAGCGGAAGGAAGCGGGGGAAGACGACTCCGAGGAGGACGAACCAGTGGAAATCCCGTTGTCAGCCGTCACGATGCACCCGAAGGGGACCCCAGCGCCGGCATCGCCCTCGGGCCCAGGGGTGGAACAAGGCAAGCTTCCTGGCGTCGTTCTGGCGAGCGTCCAGACGTCGCAGAGCATCCGGCAGGGCGCGCAGCGACCCAATTTTTTGCTCACCGCACGGCCGTGCGAGCCGTCGGTCGGTGGTGATGGTCGGCCTTAGGGTACCCCTAGGCTTAAAAGGGTGGGCCCTGGGGCGCCTGCGGCTTAAACGGCTTAAAACCGGCCTAGGCCGGTTTTAAGAGCTGCTGGGCCGCCGATTCCTTAAACGGTCTTAAACGCTTAAACGCTGCGGGAGAGCTCCCGAGGTCGATGGTCCGGGAGGCTCCCGGTAGACGCCGGAGGCCGGGGGAAGCTGGCTACAGTCAGCTGGCACGCGTCCCCTATGCGAGTATGGCTCCTGCCAGTGCACCAGACTTACAGATGTGTCTTCAGAGGCGGGTTTGTGCCTAATAACGGCAGTATTGGAGAAAACGGCGCGGAACGCAGCCTCCGCGCAGCGACGCGTGCCGGTGAGGCCGATTTTCTTAAACGGTCTTAAAAGAGAGACCCCCCGTGCCTGCAATCTCTTAAATGACAATTTGAGCCCCCAAACCTCCTCATTTCTTAAAAGGTCTTAAAAAAATCCGGCCCTCAGAACCCTAGGGGTACCCTAAGTGGTCGGCGTCGGCGCGCGCCGCCCAACGCGGCGGCGGTGGGCGTCATGTGGCGGGGCGTCGGACCAGACATTGTGCGAATTTCGGCGGTTTTCTCGATTATCGGCACTCCAGTCGGCACTACTCTCTCGAGGTCTCGCGGATCTTATCAATATCAGCCCGCGAGCGCGACGGCGAAGGGCAGGGGCAGCAGAGCATTCCTGAGATTGAAAACGTGTCCACGAAATTTGTAACATCTATCAAACAACATATACACGGTCGCGTGCCGACCGCCGTCTTCCGCATACGCGCACTGAGATCTGATATGCGCAGCAGCAGGCAGTGCGGGCGGCGCGACCGCCGACGGGGGCCCAGTCCCCGGGAAGGGGGGGAAAAACCCCCGGGGGGGACTGGGGGGAGTTTTTTGGGGGGATTTCCCCCCCCCTTTGGTAGGGGGGGGGGGGGGGTTTTTTGCCGGGGTTTTGTCATCCCCCCCCCCCCCCCCCCCCCCCCTCCCCTCCACCCAACCCCACCACTCATTGTGTGTGGGGAACCTGCCTACCCGCCCCCGCCTACCTGTTGTACGTGGCGGCGTCCGGGTTCTCCTCGCCGCCGTACTCCGGCGTGCCCGGGTCGCGCGTCACAGTCATCGGCGAGCGGAGTGCGTCGCTGCCGTAGTAGTAGCCCGAGGTCACCTCGCATCATGCCGACGATACTCAAGAGTGATGAACGATGAACAAGTCACCCAAAGGTCAATAGTGATGACTGGTGAACAAGTCCCTCAGGTCAATAGTTAATTCTGATGAACAAGTCACCCTCAGGTCAATAGTGATGAACGATGAACAAATCATCCTCAGGTCACCTCGCCAAACAGGCAGCGCATCATGCTGACGGTGCCCTGCTCGGGCGTCAGCCGCGCGCCCGACCCCGCCGTCATCGCCGTCTTGATGTAGCCGGGCGAGAGCGAGGTGATCGTGAGGTTCGGGTGCGCAGCGGCCTGCTACAGCGTGCACGTAATAGCAATTGAATACGGATGCTAACAGTAATCCCACAGCAAGCCGCGGCCTGCTGAAGCGTGTACGCCGTCAGCGCTGCCTTGCTCAGCCCTACACACGACCCGACGGCTTTCGTGAGCGGGGCCCTCTCTTCGGGCGGCCGGCCGGCTCTCCTGTGGCGACCTATTCACAGCTCGAGGTGTGAAGAGACGCTGTTCACAGGTGGCAAGCCGGCTCTCCTGTGGCGGCCGTAGCCGCCCATGCTCGCGGCTGGCGCGAGCTCCTCCACCGCCGCCGCGAGCTGCTCCCACGTGGCACTGCGGCTGGTGAAGAGCTCCTAGGGCGAGACTCGGGGAGACTCGGGGAGAGATTGCGAGATGGCACTGCGGCGTGAAGAGCTCCTAGAGCTCGCACTAGAGGCCGTCATCGCATCGCCTTTCTTGGACTCAGTGCTGACTTCGACTGCCGTTGCTGTCTCTCCCCTCTCGGCTGTCTGTGCTTGTGCGTCTTGGGCCCGGGGTTGTGTCTTTGCGTGAATGCTCCTAGGTTTTTGCTTGCCTTCCCTGGGACCCCGTGTTGCATGTCTGACTGCCACGGTGCGATTTCGGGGCCCGGGGTTGTGTCTTTGCGTGAGGCGCTCCTTGGTCGCGGCACTCTGCGAGCGCAGCCACATCGAGGCGGCGCCAGACGAGACGTTGACGATCCGGCCGGCGGCTGGGTCGATCAGCGGGAGGATCGCCTCGCTCACCCGCTTGGGGCCGAGCAGGTTCACGTTGAGAAGGGCGGCGGCGTCGCCCGGCGAGGTTTGAAAGCCGACCCCGGCGTTGTTGACCAGTGCATAGAGCGTCACCGACTTGGCCTGGAGCGCGGCCGCAGCGGCCGCGACCGACGCCTCGTCACCGACGTCGATCGTGACCAGCGCGATCCTATCCGCGGCCGCGGGATACGCGTCGCTGATGCTTTTCACCGCCGCGGCACCCTTCTCGGCGTCCCGTGAGCCGAGGAAGACGAACGTGTCCTCCCGCTCGCCGACGAGCAGCTTGCACAGCGCGAAGCCGATGCCAGCGTTGCCGCCGGTGACGAAGATGTGCTTGGTCGCCATATGCTCCAGCGGTGGGGTGGCGACTGCGGACACGAGGCGCGGTCGCGTTCGGGCCTCTGCCGACACGTATATACATAGCTGGGGTCCCGGGGTTGGCCTTCGCCAACTAAAAAACTATTTTGTGTCACTCCCCTTTCTCCCGGCCGGGGCGGGGCGCGCGCGGGGGCGGCGGGTGTGCGGCGAGTGTGCGGGATGTCTGTGGGCCCGAGAGCGATATGCCATGTCCGCCTTGCGTTGTTTCATAACATCGAAGGCTAAGCTCAAAAACTATTCATAACATCGAAGGCAAGCTCAAAAACTAACCTTAAAGTTAATTCGAGCCGTCGATGGAGAGAGAGGGGGGGTTGGGCGGTCGGCGTCGGGGTAGAAGCAACAGGGCGTACGGGGTAGCCGTCACTTTCCTGCCTCGAAAGGGCGGGGCTGTCCCGGAAAGTGAGAAACGCCGGGCAGCGTGGCGCACAACTGAACCCTCCCATACGTGTTCGTGGCTCCTCCTTCGCTGTCCCATCTCCTCATCTCTTTCCCGCCTGGGCGGGGCAGTGGGCGGGCGCGCGGTGCGGCGTGGCGTGTGCGTGTGTGCGACTGCAACGAAGGACCGCTAGCGAGGGACCATTGGGTTTGTACTATTCTCTCTCTCTCTCTCTCTCTCTCTCTCTCTCTCTCTCTCTCGGTTTGTACTATTACAACGAAGCCTCTCAAAAAAGAAAAGCGCCGGAGTTGAAGAGCTCGCAGTCCGCTCCCTCTTCGACTGGACGCCGCGATGCAGCAGCTCACCACCGCGACGCAGCCGGAGGAAGCATCCCGTGAGGTGCCAGAGGCCAACATCGCGGCGGAGGCCGGCAGCCTTCCCGAATCGGTGTGGACAGCGGCGAGACGAGGCGAAGAGGCGGCGCTGTTTTGGTGGCTTGAGAGCGGCGGGCGGGTCAATGCAACTCGCGGGGGCAACACCGCGTTGATGACCGCCGCCCTCAACGGCCACGTGCCAGCGGTCGAGCTGCTGCTGCAGCGCGGCGCGGAGGTCAACTTGCAGGGCGACGGCTGGACCGCGCTGATGTACGCCGCCAGCACCGGCCATGCGCAGGTGGTCGACCTGCTGCTGCAGCGCGGCGCGGCGGTCGACCTGCAGGACTGCGACGGCACTACCGCGCTGATGGCCGCCGCCGACAGAGGCCACGAGCGGGTGGTCGAGATGCTGCTGCGAGGGGCGGAGGTCAACAAGCAGGACAGCGACGGCGAAACTGCGCTGATGTACGCCGCCAGCCAAGGCCACGAGCGAGTGATCGACCTGCTGCTTCAGCGCGGCGCGGAGATCAACAAGCAGAGCAGCTACGGCGGCACCGCACTGATGCGCGCCGCTGGCAACGGCAACACCGCCATCGTGCTCCGCTTGCTGCGGGCGGGCGCGGATACAAAGCTGCGCGCTGAGAACGGCAAGTCCGCGCTGCAGTATGCCAAGGAGGAGGGTCACAGCGCGTGCGTCGACGCTTTCCGGCAGCACATCGCGGAGGTGACTGCGAGCCAGCGCGAGGCGGCAGCTGGCGGCGCGGGCGGCGCTTCCTCCGGCGAGGCGGCGGCGGGAGCGGGGGCCGCGGCCTCTTCCGGCTCGCTGTCCGCCCTGCCTCACCCTGTTTGCCTCCATGAAATTGCTATCGACGGACTTGCTCGAGCAGCTCTCGACGGCGACGAGGCGGCGCTGCTGGCGTGGCTTGACAGCGGCGGGCGGGTCAATGCGACCTTCGGGGTTGTGTACGCGGCGAACGAGGTGACCGGCATCACCGCGTTGATGGGCGCCGCCCGCAACGGCCACGAGCCAGCGGTCGAGCTGCTGCTGCAGCGCGGGGCAGAGATCAACCTGCAGGACAGCAGCGGCCACACCGCGCTGATGCTCGCCGCCAACAATGGCCACGAGCTGGTCGAGCTGCTGATTCAGCGCGGCGCGGAGGTCGACAAGCCGGACAGCGACGGCCGTACCGCGCTCATTGACGCCGCCAGCAACGGCCACGAGCGGGTGGTCGACTTGCTGATGCAGCACGGCGCGGAGATCAACCTGCAGAGTAGCGACGGCGGCACCGCGCTGATGGCCGCCGCCACCAACGGCCACGAGCGGGTGGTCGAGTTGCTGATGCAGCGCGGCGCGGAGGTCAACAAGCAGAACAGCGACGGCGGCACCGCGCTCATGGACGCCGCACTCAGCGATTCCCCCGCCATCGTGCTCCGCCTGCTGCGGGCGGGCGCAGACACGGCGCTGCGCGCTGAGAACAACAAGTCTGCGCTGCAGATGGCCAAGGAGAGGGGCCACGCCGGGTGCGTGCGCGCCCTCGAGGAGCATGCGGCGGCGGAGGCGGTGGCGGAGGCAGCGGCGAGGGAGGCGGAGAGAGCGGCGGCAGAGGCGGAGGCGGCGCGGCATGCCGAGGCGCTGCTGGCGGAGGAGGAGGCGGAGAAGGAGGGGGAGCGCGCCAAGGAGAGCAAGAAGGGGAAGAAGAAGAAGAAGAAGGGGAAGGGCGGCGGGGGCGGCGCTGGGCCCTCGCAGGAGAAGGTGCCCGAGGATGGGGCAGCGCTGGCGGCGGCGGAGGAGGCGGAGTTGGCGGCGGCGCTCGAGGAGAGCGCGAGGCTGGAGGAGGAGAGGCGGGCGCCCGACGAGCAGGGGTCGTCCTCATTGGCTGCAGAGAGGCCGCCTTCGGTGGAGGAGGAGGAGGAGCCGGCCGACTTCATCTGCCCGATCACGACCGAGGTGATGAGCGACCCGGTGATGGCGGCGGATGGGCATGCTTACGAGCGGACGGCGATGGAGCGCTGGCTCGCGACCAAGTCGACGAGCCCGATGACGGGCGAGGCGCTCGAGTACACGGGGCTCTTCCCGCACCACATGTTGCGCAGGCAGATCCGAGAGTGGCAAGAGGCGCATCCGGGACGGTAGGTTTGTGTGGCGTTTGTGGAGGCGGGTTTCGAGGAGAGCGCGAGGCTGGAGGACGAGGCAACCGCGCGCAACGAAGGAGCAGGCGCCTCCCGCCGAATCTGCCGGCGACCCTCCGCCGAGTGAGGAGGGCATAACTTAGTCACCCGCGCCCAAGAAGCAAGAGCCAGCAGTCTGCAGCTTTTTGCCCATAGCATATTGCCAAGTGTTGTGTGAGAGTTGTTGAGTTTTGTTGCGGCCTGGGTTTTTGCTCGGTGTTGCGTGACTGTCTCCGTGCGATTTCGGGCCCGGGGTTGTTGTGCGTTTATGTGCCCCTACGCTTAGGCGGCTCGTGCGGTGTACTGGGCCCGGTGCCTTTGTTCTTCCTGCCACAAAATTTCCTGCCACGGCGCTCCTTTCAGGACGCGACTCGGGCGAATCGACAGGAGCGCATCCCTGCCTGCCGCGCCTCGGACTAGCGGCCATTCTAGGGTACCATACACTTCCGGGCCGGTGTGCGGGGAGCGAACCTTAACGACCGCCCAGAAGCTTTCTGCGCGAACCAATCGGGCCAGGATCATCAGCATATGTCCCCTCCACAACATCGGGGGCGTTTGAGCGGTATTTGAGGAGCACCGCGACTCTGAAGTTCGGCCGGGTGGTCTGCAGACCCCCCCCCCGGAGCAGCAGAGGCTCCGTGGGGTCGAAAAGTCGACGCTGGGAGTCGCACTCGTCAAGCCATCGCAGCACCACGCGGTCCGCACGTACCGACCACATCCCCCCCACCGCTGAGAAGGCGCAGATCGACCGCCGGGCCGCGTAGTCGTCGTTAAGGAGCGGTTTTTGGAGCCGTACGAAGAGGTCCCAGACGGGCGAACATGCGGTTTTGCGACGACCACACGCGATGTGGTATCTGGTTTTTGCTAAAAACGGGCCGCCTAGTGCAGCACCACTAGTACAACACGCAACCTCACTGAGAGCTCCACACTAGCCGGTATAGGCGAGCGCCGACGGCGTCACGGTCGCCGGAGTGGACGCACTGCACACACACCGTGACCGTGTCGTGGGTGTGACAATGAGCGACACAACCGTCGGCGCCGCGCTATCGCGGCGCCCCGCAGTCTACACACCGCAGGCGCACCCCTGAACGCGCCATGAGCGCGCAGGCACATAGCAGCGCCGCGCCAAAAGGCCATTCCCTCGCCCGACCCGCGGCTCCTGGCGACGGCGCGCCACTGGTGCCGCCGTACGACCCACAGATCGGCAACCAGGCGCTGCACTGGCTCTCCAAGGCTGTCGAGTGTGGCACGTCGACCTGGAACGGGTACGTCGCGTCGGACGAGCTGCGTGAGCTGGTGGCGCACATGAAGGTTGCGGATCTGCGCGGCGAGCTCGACGTGAGACGGATCCCTTGGACGCGGGGCAGGGCGGCTAGATGCAACATCGCCGCGATGGCGTCGCATGAATCGTGCATACGTGCCGTCCGAGGTGGCTCACGCACGCCCATGTCCGCCGCAGGCATGCGCAAGCAGCTTCTCTCCGAGCGGTTGCTCGTCGCTTGCGGTGCGGGCCCACTTGGGCTGGTGCGTCGTCCTCAACGTCAGTATGCGCCAACAGCCTCGCGCGTCTTGCTCGCAGGCGTGACGACCGACACTCGCATGCCGCGCTGCCTCCAGGGCCGTCCAACTTGCGAATGTATCCTTCTCGGTGCCCTCCGGCCACGCTCGCTGCGCAGACCCTGGATTTGAATGCAGGGCCGCGGACGCAGGGCCGCGATTGACTCTGGCGCCAGCCGCAGCGCCGCACTCGGGCTGGCGTCTCCGGCTCACGCGTTCGTGCAAAACGACGTCCGCCTTATGGTGAAGTACGAGAGGGGGGAGGGGGAGAGGGAGAGAGAGGGGGGGAGGGAGGGAGGGAGAGAGAGGGAGGGAGAGAGGTGGTGGTGGAGGGAGGAGTCGTAGGGATGTGGTAGGGAGCACATCTTGAGATCTTGTATAATGTATTTCAATATTTAGTATATTACCGTACGCTGCCGCAGTCTCGCGTCACGCGTGGTGGTTGGTGCATCATGGACGTACATGGACACGGCATTGTTTTCGATCGGCATTCAAAAAGAAAGAGGATGGCGAGATCAACATGCCAATAATGCAATGAAGCGCCGAGCGCGCTACGTGAAGGCAGCAGCCTCTTGCCGCGGCCTCTGGTAGAAGCCTGCGTCGAGCAGCCCGATGAAGCCGGCCAGCGCGCCCCAGTGGTAGAAGCGCATCCCCGTGCACTCGGTGGCGTTGCGCCACGGCGAGAAGTTCTCGCACACGTGCCGGTGGGCGCGCCACTGCGTCAGGAAGAGCGCGCCCATCTGCTTGCACAGCGCCGCGCGCGCCGTCGTCACCAGCGGCACGTCCGAATACGCCTCGTGTGACAGGCCCCAGTACGTGAGCAGCGCCATCGGCCCCCAAACGTACCCGCGCCAGTAGCCGAGCGGCGGGAAGGCGGGGTCGTCGGCCGAAACTGACGGTAGGCCCCAGTAGCACGTGTCGTCGTTGCCCGCAAAGTCGCCCTTTGGCGTGATGCAGAAGCGGCTCGCGTTGAGCAGCCAGCCTCGCAGCATGCTCTCGGCTCTCCCCACGGTCGCGATTCCCGAGAGCATCGGGTAAAAGGAGGTGGGGGTGATGCGCCGCCGAAAGCGGCCCGTCGCGAGGCGGTTGACGAAGATGCCGCTCTGCTCATCCCACAGATGCGCCGCTATCTTTGCCCGGGCGTCGGCGGAGCGCGCACGCAGCACCTTGGCGGTGTCGGCGCGGCCAGCGGCGTCGGCGAGCTCGGCGAGGCACGCGTCGCTCATCGCCACCATGCTCGCCATCCCCACGTCGTACATCTGCATCAGCCCGTAGCCAGTCTTGTTGTCGGTAACCGCGAAGAAGTGCCCGTCGTACATCGGGCTGTCGTCAAGCCCGCTCTCGTAGCGCGCGGCCTGCATATCGTCTCCGCCCAGCGCGGTCATGTTGAGGGGCGGGAGGGTGCGCTCCTCGAGGAACCAGCCGGACCAGTCCAGCAGGTCGTCCAGGAGCAGCTCCACAAGCCACAGGTCGCGGTACCGTCTGTACATCTCGAGCAGCACCTTCGAGCCGACGGGCGGCTGCGAGTGCGTACTCTTTCGCGTGGGCGCGTAGCCGTTCGGCACGAACCCCTCCGCCGACTTGGCCTTCACCACCTGGATGAGGACGGAATAGCCGAGCTCCTTGCCCGCCGCGTCGAGGCTCAGCATGTATCCCGCAAAGTGCGTGTCCCAGTCGAAGAGCACGTACGGCCAGTCGTCGCTCAGCACGGCGGGGTCCCAGCCCCACGGGTTGCCGCGGATGACGGGGGCGATGACGCTCTCCAGCGGGTTGTTCCACATGGCGCCCGCCTGCACCGCCATCTTGACCTCCGCATGCTCGCCGTATGCGCCGTAGCGCGCCTGCTCCGCCTCCCACGCCGCGCGGAGCGTCGCCCGGATCCGAGCGGCTGGCAGCGGCGCTTTGGACGAGAAGCCGACGCTGCCAGAGTGGTCACCCGAAGTTACCCGAGATTGACCGAGTGTACCCGAGGAGACCGGAGATTGCCCGAGGTTGCCCGAGATTGCCCGAGGTCACCTGCCGCCGCCAGCGAGATCGAACCGCAAATGAGGCAGCGCCTAATGGATACATTAACAGACAACTGATTCATTCATTCATGAAGATGTCGAACCGCAAGTGCGGCAGCGCCTAGCGGTCGTAATGACAATGCCGAGAAGAAGAGCCGCCTTCCTGCCCAGACTGGCACAAGCGGCATGCGCCTCCACGCGCCGAGGCAGAAGCAGCGCGGAGCCTTTCGACGGCTGGGTGGCGTGGACGACGCTGCTGCGCAGCCCGTCGCCGATCGGCGTGAAACTGAGGGTCTGCGCCGCGGCGCTCACCTCGTGCACTCGATACCACGCCGACGAGCCGGCGAGCACCTGTTCACAGCAAGCGGTGTGAAGAGGCGCCGTTCACACCGCCCACGCCGCGCTGCGCGCGAGCGCCAGCTCCGTGCCGTCACAGCCAGCCACGACCTCACACAACGGCGAACAGCTCGTCATGAATGAGTGAGTAGTGATTATTCATGATTAACTATCATTCTATGGCCTCCACGACGGCGTAGTTAGTGATTAAATATTGGTCAATGATTAATGATTAATGATTATCGATGATTAATTATTATTATGACCTCCACAATAGCGAGCAGCTCGTCGCCGCCCCCGACCTTGGGCAAGGGGAAAGTGCGGTGAGGCAAAACTTCTCCACACACGCAAGGGGGGCGGGGCAAGGGCCAAGCTAGTCCCTTGCGACTCCACACCCCACAACAGACGGGAGCTGGCACGGCATTCAGAGTGCAAGGCCCGGTGCACACACACACAAACACGCCTCGATGCTGACGTTGCACGTTGCCGTGGCGAGGTACAGCTGGAGGTACGAGCGGTCGTACGCGTGAGCGCCTAGAGAGAGAACAACGCCCTGTCTTTCTTTTTTACAAGGGACGCCGACCCGGTCGTGCGCGTGAGCGCCTAGAAAGGCCCACGCGTGTTTCTTTTTTACAGGGAGACGCGTAACTCGGTCGTCGAACGCGTGAGCGCCGAGACGAATCGTCACGTCGCCCTGGCCTCCCGGACCCCAGTCGACCCTCGCCTCCTCGAGGCAGCGCGGCGCGTCCGCGCCGCTCGCGCCGCTGTCGCACAGCATCAGCGCGAGCGCGCTGCCCTCCGGCAAGCGGACGAGCTTGGTGTAGCTCATGTCGTACCACGGCGCCTAGTTAATTAATAATGATTGATTAATTAACTAATCAACGAGCTTGGTGTAGCTCATGTCGTACCACGGCGCCTAGTTAATTAATTAATGATTGATTAATTAACTAATCAACGAACTTGGTGTAGCTCATGTCGTACCACGGCGCCTACAAAGAAATACACCGCGGTAAAAGAAAAGCGATAGGCTCCTCTGGCCCACGTCGTCCCACGGCGCCTACAAAAAAGAAATACGGCTGGCGTAGAAAGAGAGCTATGACGCATCTCTGGCATGTCGTCCCACGGCGCCCAGCCCGACGAGAGCCTGGCCTGCATCGCATCGCGCTGCGCCTCCGCCTCTGGCAGCGCCTAGTGAAGAAATTATTAACTAGTTAATTAGCTAATTAAGAGTCGCGCTGTGCCTCCGCCTCTGGCAGCGCCTAGTTAAGAAATTATTAACTAGTTAATTAGCTAATTAAGAGTCGCGCTGCGCCTCCGCCTCTGGCAGCGCCTAGTTAAGAAATGGAAAGTTAACAAATTAACTAATTAAGAGTCGCGCTGTGCCTCCTCCTTTGGCAGCGCCGGGGACAGCGCGCCCTCGAGCCATGCCTCCTTCCTCAGCGTGCCCCCTCCGAGCCACGCCGCCCCCTTTCCGCCTCCCTCTCCACCACCGGCCGGCCGGCCGCCACGCTCCGGCGCCCTCGTGATGCGAACCCCGAAAGAGTCGGTCGGGCGGGAGGCTGAGCCGTGGTGCACGACCACGAGGCGGATCGGCCACGCGGTCGAGGAGAGCACCGGCAGCGGGTTGTCGTACTCCGTCGACCGGACGCTGGGCGGCGTCGGGCCGTGAGCGCCGTTGGTGCCTTTCTGGCAGACGAGGTGGCCGTCGACGTGGACGTAGCCTAGGACCGCGTGGCCAAAGAAGCAGCTAAAGTTATAGAGGTAGTCACGCTCGACGGAGATCGTGCCGGTGAGCGTGGCGCTGAAGGGCCGCCGTGAGTCGTGTGTCACGTTGGGCAAAGCGACGGTTTCGGACCTCAGGATCGTTCCTGCGACGGCCGTGCTGTTGAACAAAGTGAGTGCGAGCCCACGCTGCGGCGGCTGCCAAGCGAGGCTGATTGGGAGGATGAGCGGCAGGCAAGGCCAGGCGACACGTCGGCGCTGCATGCACACAACGTCGAAAGGCTGGGTTCGGCTCAAAGGGAGGTAGGGGAGCGGACCCACATCCACTGGTCGAGTCATAGGTGACGCGAGGGTGCTCACTTAATTGATTAATTCACTCATTAATTCCTTAATTGCGTGACGTATTCCGGGTAATCTTAATTATTAATCATCGGGCGGGGCGCGGCGCGGCGGCGGCGCGGAGCGGGGCGGCGAGACCATCTTTACTGAACGGACCAGCTAGCTGGTCTTTGATGCAGCGCAATGGTCGAGCCGCCCTCGACTCAAGGGGCTGCCTTCCATCGTCGCTGCTCAGACCGGGCTCCGGGGGAGGGGGGGAGACCTCCTGTTCCTCGCGGAACGGGAGCAGCCCAGACCGAGGGCGGCGCCCGACGGCGCGGTGGCGCGGTGGGCTGCGAGTGCGCGATGTCTACGTCTTGCTCCATGTTATTGGCAATAAGATACGAAGGGACGAACGAACACGCGGGAACAATTAACTAATCAGGATATTACGCGGGGCGAGGTGTGAACGGTCTACCCGAGGTGAGGGTAGGCGCATCCCCCCCAATGGCGGCGGGCGAGTCGCGAGCTCGCAGAGCCGCCATTGCCATGTGAGAAGGGTTCGGCGAGTTGACCACGAGCCGTTCGCGGGGGGTAGGGTTCGGCGAGGTTCACGAGCCGTTCGCGGGGGGTAGGGTTCGGCGAGGTTCACGAGCCGTTCGCGGGGGGTAGGGTTCGGCGAGGTTCACGAGCCGTTCGCGGGGGGTAGGGTTCGGCGAGGTTCACGAGCCGTTCGCGGGGGTTAGTGGCTGGGGTTAGGGGTTGGGGTTAGGGGCTGGTTAGGGGCTGGGGTTAGGGGCTGGGGTGTGTTGCCGTTTAGGCAAAATCCATGTCGGGTTGGGCTCGAGAGTTGGTAGGAGGTGCCAAGGCCACGCTGTTGGCGGTTGGTGCCAAGTCCAGCGCGTTGGCGGGTGGTGGATGGCGTGTTGGGGTTCTTGTGGCAAAAGATTCAGTGCATTGTTGCATGCTGCATCAAATCGAATCGCATCGCATCGCATCGCATCGCATCGCTGCTCGCGTTCGCTCCGCGAAGGGGCAAACTCGAACTGGGAGCCACTCGCGCGAATTCGAGCAGCGACGTGTGACGGGCTGTTGAAGCGGGTTAGTGCTGAGAGCACCACCTGATATACTGCGCAGAAAGCTGTGGTTGAGCGCACTGCGCTGATGAGGCGACCCAAAGGAGGCCGGATCGGACCGTAGGCCGCTACCATGCGCAAGACCAGACGGTGTAGCTGAGCTCCCTCGGAGACCGAGGGCGGCGCCCGACGGCGCGGTGGCGCGGTGGGCTGCGAGTGCGCGATGTCTACGTCTTGCTCCATGTTATTGGCAATAAGATACGAAGGGACGAACGAACACGCGGGAACAATTAATTAACTAATCAGGATATTACGCGGGGCGAGGTGTGAACGGTCTACCCGAGGTGAGGGTAGGCGCACAATGAAGTCCACCTTCACCTCTCCGACTAACTAGAGTATACAGCGCGCTGGATTGGTGGCGGCGACTCTTGCTTCGCGCCCCCACGGTCACAGCTCACATGCTCACTCGAGGGAGAAACACCGACGAAAACCAAAGATAGGCATACGATCAATCTTACTTCTGCAAGCAGGTAGGTTCGTTCCTCTTGTCTCTCCGTCTAGCCCTAGCACTTGCACTGTTGTTGTTGCTGGCTGCTGGTGCTGCTGATACCCCCCCGGTCCACACGGTACACGGCATCAACACACTTGGTGAGTCACACATGTGCACATGCAACATGCATGTGTGCAACATGCACCTGTGTTCACCAACAACATGTGCATGCACATATGCATGTGCATGTGCATGCGTCTCCCTTTCCGGCTTTAGAGGCGGTCACATCCGCGCGTCGCCCTCGTACACGCCCGGCTCCTCCAGCGCAAGCAGCTCGCCCAACCCGACCGCACCGCCGTGCACGAGCGCCCAGCCGCGCCGGTCGGGATCGACGGCGACCGGCCGGCGCGAGCGCACCTACAAGCAGAAGAAAAAAAACTGCGGAAAAAGTACAGGACGGCGGGCCGGCGCGAGCGCACCTAAAAGCAGGAGTAACAACTGCGGGAAAAGCAGTACAGGACGGACGGGCCGGCGCGCGCTAGCGCACCTAAAGACAGAAACAAAGCGTGTAGAAAAAAGAAATGCGTGACTCGGACGGCCGGCGCGAGCGCACCTAAAGACAGAAACAAAACATCTGCAGTAAGAAAAAGAAACACTGCACGCCGACAGGATGGCGCGGGCGCGCCCACAGCCCCTCGTGTGTGGCGAGGGTGGCGTCGGCCTCGATGAGGGTGCCCGTAGGACCAATCGAGAGGATGGCCGCGCTCGTGGCGGGCGCCTAAAAAGAAGAAAAACATCGTGAAAAATGAACACAAGCAAGGGGATGGCCGCCGATCGTGGCGGGCGCCTAATAAAAAAAAGAAAATGTGTGCAAAAAAGAAATGCGCTCGTCCGGGTGGCCGGATTCGTGGCGGGCGCCGCGCGCAAGTAGACCATCGGCTTGAAGGTCACGCGGTACCTGGGCAGTTCCGAGAAAGTTCCACGCGGTTCGGGAGAAAGTTTCGAGAAGGTTCCGTGCATGTCGCTATCTCCCCAAATCTCCCCAAACCTTCCCGTATCTCCCCATATCTCCCATATCTCCCCCGTACCTCGCAGGGGAGACGAGACGCCGCGCGCCGCACCGCACCGCCGCCTCGTCCGCCTCGTCGTGCGACCGCAGCTGCGGCTTGAGGTCTTGCAGCGACACCTGTCTCTCGGGCAACCTCGCGTCATCTCGGGCAATCTCGCGTCATCTCGGGCAATCTCGCGTCATCTCGGGTCATCTCGGGTCATGTTGGGTCCTCTCGGCTCTCTCGGCTCATCTCGGCGCATCTCGGGCCATCTCGAGTCATCGGATCATCTCAGCTTGAGGCTTGGTAGCGACGTTCGCCGAGATGCGCCGAGTTGCGCCGAGATGCGCCGAGAAGCGCCGAGATACCCCGAGATGCCCCGAGATACCCCGAGATCGCGGCACCTCGACCAACGAGACGCCGTTGGCCGCGGCGGCGCCCGCCGTTGCCTCGCCGCCCCCCCCCTCGCGGGCACGGCCGGCGCCGCGGACGCGCTCCGCTAGAAGGCGCGCCAGCCCTCCCTCGCAGCCGGCTGCAAAAGCAAGCGCCGCCGCGCGCCCCACCGAAGACATGCGGCGGAGGTATGCGCCGTCGTCGAGCAGCCGGCGCAGTCGCGAGGCGAAGGGAGCCGCCTCCTCCGCCGTCGCCACCTGCGGCACCGCGGCCGCGAGCGCCTTCGCTCGCTCCCGCGCGTCGGGAAGCGGCGGGTCGGCGCCTAGTCTCGCGTGATCTCGCGTGATCTCGGGTGATATCGGCGAATCTCGCGTCGGGCAGCGGCGGGTCGGCGCCTAGTCTCGCGTGATCTCGCGTGATCTCGGGTGATATCGGCGAATCTCGCGTCGGGCAGCGGCGGGTCGGCGCCAAGCCGCTGCTCGAGCTGAGCGTTCGAAGCGCCGCGCACGAGCGAGCCTCGGGCGTGGTAAGGGGAGGTCAGGTCCACGTCTCCACACACACACACACAGTGGCGGGGCCTCGTGCCCCGGGCATGGTCGAAGGAGAGCGAGGCTGGCGCGACGAGCTCGGCGTTGAGGTTTGCCTGGGCACTCATCAACACCAATTCATGCTAACACTCAGTAACTAACGACGAGCTCGGCGTTGAGGCTCGCCTCGGGCAAGCCGCCCACGTCCGACGAGACGCAGGGGATGCCTGCTCACGGCTCGCGCTGTGAAGAGACGCCGTTCACACCCCTCCGCCCACGTCCGACGAGACGCAGGGGATGCCTGCTCACGGCTCGCGCTGTGAAGAGACGCCGTTCACACCCCTCCGCCCACGTCCGACGAGACGCAGGGGATGCCTGCTCACGGCTCGCGCTGTGAAGAGACGCCGTTCACACCCCTCCGCCCACGTCCGACGAGACGCAGGGGATGCCTGCTCACGGCTCGCGCGGTGAAGAGACGCCGTTCACACCCCTCCGCCCACGTCCGACGAGACGCAGGGGATGCCTGCTCACGGCTCGCGCGGTGAAGAGACGCCGTTCACACCCCTCCGCCCACGTCCGACGAGACGCAGGGGATGCCTGCTCACGGCTCGCGCTGTGAAGAGACGCCGTTCACACCCCTCCGCCCACGTCCGACGAGACGCAGGGGATGCCTGCTCACGGCTCGCGCTGTGAAGAGACGCCGTTCACACCCCTCCGCCCACGTCCGACGAGACGCAGGGGATGCCTGCTCACGGCTCGCGCTGTGAAGAGACGCCGTTCACACCCCTCCGCCCACGTCCGACGAGACGCAGGGGATGCCTGCTCACGGCTCGCGCTGTGAAGAGACGCCGTTCACACCCCTCCGCCCACGTCCGACGAGACGCAGGGGATGCCTGCTCACGGCTCGCGCTGTGAAGAGACGCCGTTCACACCCCTCCGCCCACGTCCGACGAGACGCAGGGGATGCCTGCTCACGGCTCGCGCGGTGAAGAGACGCCGTTCACACCCCGCCGCCCACGTCCGACGAGACGCAGGGGATGCCTGCTCACGGCTCGCGCTGTGAAGAGACGCCGTTCACACCCCTCCGCCCACGTCCGACGAGACGCAGGGGATGCCTGCTCACGGCTCGCGCTGTGAAGAGACGCCGTTCACACCCCTCCGCCCACGTCCGACGAGACGCAGGGGATGCCTGCTCACGGCTCGCGCTGTGAAGAGACGCCGTTCACACCCCTCCGCCCACGTCCGACGAGAAGGGGATGCCGCGCAGCAGCGCCTCCATCACAATGAGCGAGATTACCCCGAGATTACCCGAGATCACAACGAGGCGCCGCGCAGCAGCGCCTCCATCACAACGAGCGGGCAGCACTCCTGCCAGAGAGACGGAGCGAGCAGGACGCGCGTCCGCCTAATCTCGGAGAATCTCGGGTAATCTCGGGCGACTCTCGGGTGATCTCGCGAGCAGGACGCGCGTCCGCCGAAAGATGACGTCGACGTCGTCGTCGGGCGGGAGTAGCGCGATGTTCGGAGCGGACTCGAGCTGCGCAGGGCGGGGAGGAGAGTCTCGGAGGTGTGTCGGAGGTGCGTCGGAGGTGTCTCGGAGGTGTGTCGGAGGTGTGTCGGAGGTGTGTCGGAGGTGTGTCGGAGGTGTCTCGGAGGTGTGTCGGAGGTGTCTCGGAGGTGTGTCGGAGGTGTGTCGGAGGAGAGTCGGAGGTGTGTCGGAGGTGTCTCGGAGGTGTCTCGGAGGTGTGTCGGAGGTGTGTCGGAGGTGTGTCGGAGGTGTCTCGGAGGTGCCTCGGAGGTGTCTCGGAGGTGTCTCGGAGGTGTCTCGGAGGTGTGTCGGAGGTGTGTCGGAGGTGTGTCGGAGGTGTCTCGGAGGTGCCTCGGAGGTGTCTCGGAGGTGTCTCGGAGGTGTCTCACCAGCTCACGCGAGGCGGGGTCTGTCCAGCCCGTCGCCTGTAGATGACCATGATGCCTCAGCTTGATGACAACTAACGGGCTTGGCCTTGGCCCGTCCATCCCGTCGCCACGGCGGCGAAGGCCACCCGCGGCATCGCCTACTCAATCCCTCCCCAGACTACTCTCCCGATATGAATTGAACTCATCCAGGCCACCCGGCGGCATCGCCCTTGCGAGAGCGAGCAGCAGCGACAGCCCCTTCGCTGGGCAGGGGCTCACGAGGGTCACGTACACATGCGCCGCCTAGAGGTGGGTTCGGCTTCCATAGGGAGGTAGGGGAGGGGCGGACGAGGGTCACGTACACATGCGCCGCCTAGAGGTGGGTTCGGCTTCCATAGGGAGGTAGGGGAGGGGCGGACGAGGGTCACGTACACATGCGCCGCCTCCCACGGGCGCATCGCTTCGGGCAAGGAGGGCGCCCCCGCCGCCCCCTCCGCCGCCGCCCCTTTCGCCGCCGCCGCCGCCGGGTCGGCGGGCAGCCCGGAGTGGAAGTAGTGGTAGTCGGCTGCCTAGGAAGTGTCTAGGAAGTGTCTAGGAAGTGTCCAGGAAGTGTCTAGGAAGTGTCTGGGAAGTGTCTAGGAAGTGTCTCGGAAGTTCCAGGAAGTGTCTCGGAGGTGTCCACGGAAGTGTCTAGGAAGTAGTGGTACTTGGCTGCCCAGAGCGGGCGTGTGCAGAGGCGTGGCTGCTGCGGCCCCCAGCGGCGGAGGTATGCGCAGTGGTGCTCGCACGGCGAAAGGATGCAGTCGACGCGCCGCAGCAGCTCCGCGTGCCCGTCGGCGGGCGGGTGCCTAAAAAAGAGAAAAACAGCTGCACAAGAAATGTGCGTGGGCAGTGGCCCTGAAAGGGCGGCTGCCTCTTGAACGGCCCAAAGGGCGGCAGGTAGTAGTTGTGGCCTACGCTGACGTCAGTGACGCCTCACACCTCATCTCCTTGCATTCCACCTTGGAGCAGGTCGTCGTGGCCCATCGCGTACAGCGCGTCCGACTGCAAGCAAACGGCAAGCTGCAGCAGCGGCGCCTCGAGGCAAGAGGGGAGAGCACCACGTCACATCTCGGGTGATCTCGGCTGCCTCTCGGCGTCAATTCTCTGCCTCTCGGCTGCCTCTCGGCTGCCTCTCGGCTGCCTCTCGGCTGCCTCTCGGCTGCCCCTCGGCTGCCCCTCGGCTGCCTCTCGGCTGCCTCTCGGCTGCCTCTCGGCTGCCTCTCGGCTGCACCTCGGCTGCACCTCGGCTGCCTCTCGGCTGCACCTCGGCTGCCTCTCGGCTGCATCTCGGCTGCACCTCGGCTGCACCTCGGCTGCCTCTCGGCTGCACCTCGGCTGCCTCTCGGCTGCCTCTCGGCTGCCTCTCGGCTGCCTCTCGGCTGCCCCTCGGCTGCCCCTCGGCTGCCCCTCGGCTGCCTCTCGGCTGCCTCTCGGCTGCCTCTCGGCTTCAATTCTCTGCCCCTCGGCTGCCTCTCGGCTGCCTCTCGGCTATCTCTCGGCGAGCTGCAGCAGCGGCACCTCGAGGGAGAGGGAGAGCACCACGTTGGGGTAGGGGTAGGGGTTCGGGTACCGTGGGGGTAGGGGATGGCTACGCACCTCGAGGGAGAGGGAGAGCACCACGTTGGGGTAGGGGTAGGGGTTCGGGTACCGTGGGGGTAGGGGATGGGTACGCACCTCGAGGGAGAGGGAGAGCACCACATCGTACGAGCGGCGCCGCGTCGCCTACAGGTGGGTTCGGCTCCATAGGGAGGTAGGGGAGGGGTGCCGTCATCTCCTGTCCCGCGTCCACCCAGACCGCGCATGTGTCCAGTCCGAGCCCCTGTTCTCCTCTCTATCTACTGCAGCGAGCTCTAGGGCCCCTAGGAAGAGCGCGTAGCAAGCAGCCAGCCGATTCGACGACAGCCTCCGTCTGGGTCTCTCTTTGAGTGCTTGTCTGCGGCTTGCCATCTATTTCGCACAGCCTGCACGAGCGCCGCCTCTGCGCCAATCAGCACGTCGTGGCCTTCCCACCTGCGCCGCGTACAGGCGGATTCGGGTACCGTGGGGGTAGGGGATGGGTGACGTGGGGGAGGGCCTTCCCACCTGTGCCGCGCACAAGTGGGTTCGGCTCCATAGTGAGGCAGGCGATGGGTTTGGGTACCGTGGGGGTAGGGGATCGGTGCAGTACCGTGGGGGTAGGGGATGGGTTCCGGTACCGTGGGGTAGGGGAGGGCCTTCCCACCTGTGCCGCGCAACGAGCGGCCGCCGCGCCGCCGCGCCGCCGCCTCCTCCACCTCCGCCGCCTCCTCCACCTCCGCCGCCTCCGCCGCCGCCACCTCCGCCGCCTCCGCCGCCTCCGCCGCCGCCGCCGCCGCCGCCGCCGCCGCCGCCTCCGCCGCCGCCTCCGCCGCCGCCGCCGCCTCCATCTCCGCCACCGCCGCCGCCGCCGCCGCCTGCAGCTCCGTCGGCAACTCCGAGCGCGTAGACGAGGCCCTCTGGCAGCGGCTTAGGAGTGAGCGCCAACACGTCGACAGAGCCGCCGCCGCAGAGCCGCAATGCCTCGCGGATGAGGGCCAGGCTGGCGCGGGTTGCGCCACCATACGAGTCGCCCGCAAAGTAGCCGCTGTGGCCAACGACCGCGACTCGCAGGTGCCGGAGCGAGCCGGCTGGCGGAAGGCCGCCGCCGCCGGCTGGCGGAGCGAGGGACGCTGTCCCGGTCGACGCCGACGCGGCGGCGGCGGGCCCGTGCACCGCGTGCTGGAGGGCGGCGGCGTCCTCCTCCGAGATGCCGAGCTCTGCGAGGGCAGAGGAGAGATCGGAGATCATCCGCAGCAGCGGAAGCGTCAGCGCCTCCTCGTCGAGCGTCGGCTGCAGGTGAGCGAGGCCGCGGCTCGCGAGGAGCGAGGAGAGATCGCGCATGGTGAGAAGATAAGGGATGCGGGATTTTTTTGCGTTGAGGCCGTTGATCCGCAGTGAGGGTTGACTCGGCCCAGGCAAGCAGTCAGAATCGAACTGCTTCGGCAGAAAGAAAGAAAAAGGCGTAAACTTTTTTGTCTTGGAGATACGTTTCTTCTGCCAGCGCTTTGCTCCGACCTGTAGCAGCTGGCAGGAGCGGAAGCAGCCCCGAAAAACGATGCTACCCCCACTGCTGCTGCTCACAGCGTCCGCAGCGACCGGCTCCACTCCCTCGTTGCGCCGGCTCATCTCGCGGCGGCCACTCCTCTCGGCCGGCGCTGCGGCGGCGCTGGGCTGGTCTATCAACGCAGGCCGGCCGCGGGTCTACGCGACCGTGGCCGACATCCCCGACGATGAGTTCCGACGCCACGCCACGCTCCGTTGTCGCGTCGTCAAGGTCTCGGACGGCGACACACTGCGGTGCGAGCACGAGCCGCTCTGGAGCGCTCTGATCCCGAGCGCCGGCGGCCCGAAGAAGGGCAAGCTCTCTGCTCGGAGCCTGTCCGTGCGGCTGTACGCGATCGACGCGCCCGAGACGGCCAAGGCCGGGCGGCCCGGGCAGCCGCTCGGAGGGGCAGCCACCGCCTTTGTGTCGGCGGCCGTGCTCGGCAAGCTTGTGCAGGTCTCGGGACACTTCCGAGACACTTCCTAGACACTTCCCAGACACTTCCTAGACACTTCCAAGCTTGTGCAGGTCGAGCTAGCGGCAGGTAGGTAGGTAAGGGCGTCTACGCCCTTGACGCCCTCATGGTAGGTAGGTCGTTTCTCCACACTCACACTCACGGTGTTGGCGCAAGGGCCAGGCAACCCTCTTCCAATTTCACACACCCAGAGAGGCAGCAGCCCCACGGCGCAGTCAACGTGCAGGCCCCCCCCCCGGGGCAAACTCTGGGTGAGAGCAACCTTTTACCTCCCTCCCGGACAACCCACCTCGCGCGCAGGTCAAGCTGCTGTCGCGCGACCAGTACGGCCGTGCGGTGGGGGTGGTCTCGGTGGGCGCGCTCAGGCGGCGCGACCTCTCGGAGGCGCTAAGTAAACACACGTAGTAGAACGGGCACCTCCCGGAGGTTGGGAAATGAATAAAGTAAATGAATAAAACGGGCACCTCTACTAGGAGATTGGTAAATAAATAAATAACACGGACACCTCTACTAGGAGATACATAAATACATGAATACAAACGGGCACCTCTACTAGGAGATTGGTAACTAGGAGCAGGAGAGCCCGCCCCGGTGCGGTCCTTGTGCAGGGTTCTTTGTGGGGGGTGGACCGCCGCCCTCGCCCCCGCCGCCCTCGCCGCCGCCCCCCTCGCCTCCGCTTTCCCCGCCACCGCCCTCGCCGCCGCCGCCCTCCGCGCCGCCGCCGTCGCCGCCTCCGTCGAGCCCGCTTCCCTCGCCGCCGCCACCCTCGCCGCCGCCGCCCTCGCCGCCTCCTCGGAGCCCACCCCCGCCGTCGCCGGTGTTTGTCCCGTCCCGACGGGGCACTAGCACTAGCCGTCGCCGACGCTGTCCCTTGGGTCCCTGCTGCCCCTAGCCGATCTTCGTACATCGTCCTAGGCGCTGCTGTCGCAGGGGCTCGCCTTTGTCTACCGCGGCGGCGGCGCGCAGTACGACGGAGACCGCGCGAGGTGGGACCGGCTCGAGGCGGCCGCCAGGCGCCAGAGGCGGGGCGTGTGGGCGACGGGCGGCGCGGTGGAGACGCCGGCCGAGTACAAGCGGCGAGGGAGGGCGCGGGTGTGAGCGATGCGGGTTCCTAGCCCGTTCTAGTGTTCTCTTTCTCTGTGTGTAAAGGGGGTGGTCCGCCCCCGTATTACTAACCACGTGAGTAATTTCACGACCTGCCGTTGGTTCGCGCGCCGTCGTGATTTCTCGAGAGTCGTCAGGAGTGTGTGCGACTCTTCCTCGCCGCCGTCCCCCCACCCCCGTCCGCGCGTGACGCGCGAGATGCACATCGCTAGAGTAATCGGACCTGGGGGCAAATTAGGAGTTCTCCCCGCCGATCCCAGAGCCCTGTTCTTCCCTCGCACCAGCCGCGCCGCTCTCACCCCGCCACCTCGAACCGATTCCTTCGGGCGCGGCGCCGGTCGGCGGCCGAGAGACCAGCGCAGTCGCCGGCCGGCCCGGCCTGCTCCAGTAGCGCCAACGTGTTTGCGATCGCCTCTGCCGACTCGGCCGGAGGGACTGTGTTTCCCAGCGACGGCCGCCGGTTGAGCGGGCTGGGCTGCGATGGCCCGGACGGGCTGAGGCGGCTGGTGCCGTCTGGGGATGCCCGGGCCGCCCTCATCCCGACGGGCGACGGCTCGTCGAGCTCAAAGTCCGAGTCGGTGGGCCCGCCCCCCTCCGCCGGGTCCCCCGGCGCCTCCTCTCCCGCCCCATCCAACGCCGCCGCGTCGGGCAATCCACCATCGGGCGGCAGCGCAATGTCCTCGCACGACGGGCGCGTGGCGACCCGCAGGGCCGGCTTGGGGAGGGCGGCATCGCCCCGATCACCGCCGAGGGGGGAACGCTCGATCGTGTCTGGCGTGAGGGCGGCACTCCCCTGGTCCGGGTCGAGGATGGTGTCGCCCGAGCGGCTTCGAGAGCGGCCCTTGAAGGTGCCGAGCCTGCCGCGCATGCTCCCTCGCCAGCGCTTGAGCTCCTCTATCGCCGCGGCCCGCTGCAGCTCGGCGGCCGACCCGGCGCCAGCCTCCTCACCTATCGAGCGTTGCTCAGGCCCACCGCCGCTTTCGGTGTCACCCGCCTCGCCGATGGGCAGCACCTGCTCCAGTCGCGTCGGAGGCGCCGCCGGGGCCGGGCCGGGCTGCGGCTGCTGCTCCGAGGCGGAGCGTCGCCGCCCAAAACCGGGCAGGCCAATCCGGCGGCTCGGCGCGGCGGCGGCGGGAGGAGACTTGCTGTCGATTGCGGCGGCCGCCGCGGCGGCGGCGAGGCGGGAGGAGACTTGCTGCGCGAGCGCCGCGGTCGCCGAGTGCTCGGCCGCAGCGAGCGAGCCAAGGGCCTGCTGCAGCCGCTTGGCCATCGGCGTGCCGCAGACGAACGCGAGGCACTCCTCCTGGCGGGTGATGGCGGCGATGGCGGCGAGCGCGTGGTGGACTGAGGTGGCGTCCGACTGGAATAGCATGCGCTGCAGCAGCATCCACAGCCGCTGGTCCTTGAGCTCCTCGGGCCCGATGAACCGCACGAGGCTGGCGAGACACGTGAGGAGGGGGACGCGGCGCTGCGCATTGGACTCGCCCGCCTCGTTCATCAGCGCGACGAGAAGGAGCGGGGCGTCGTGGCCCGAGCACACCCTGCGCGCGCCGACATCGCCCTCGTCGATGTCCGCCAGCACCTTGGCGAGCTCCTGCGCGCTCCGGAAGCGCTGCGCCAAGGTGGTTGTGTTGGTGTCGATCGTGGTGATGGACACCGAGATGGCGCGCAAGGCGGTGACGTTTGCGACGGATCGTGGCGCGCCACGAGCCTGCGCGCCTGGATCGGACTCCATATCGGCGGGGAGCACCCACGGTCCGCGTCTTGAGAGGAGAGGAACAGCCAGCCGACAGTCGCGGGGCGCCGGGTTTGGTGGAGGAGAGTGGAGATGCACCGCAACTTCTGGGCTGAAACCTCGAAACCTCGTCGAGGTCTCGACGGCCGTCCGCACCGTCCGGGCGGGCACCGTGCATCCGGCGAACTGCCGGCGAAGCGACTCGAGACCCGCAGCCATGGTGGACTACCGAAAGACGGACAAGCTTGACGAGCTCTTCGCATCGAGACGATCGAGCCAGACTTCGTCCCGCCGAAGCCAGATATCTGTCCATGAGGTCGTCCCTCCGGTTCGAGTGATCCCGGCTCCCGAGAACCTGCCCGAAGGTCTGCACGCATGAACCCGTGTGTGTGTGTGTGACTCACACATACTTACTCACTCACGCACACGCATGAACCCTACTACCACACCGCGGTCTTTCACACGCCGCCCTACACAGGCTTCCGGTCCAAGTACCCTCCCATCGAGGCCAACGAGACCGGCTTCATGAAGCCTCTCGACAGCGACATCCACACGATTTATTGGGAGGAGTCGGGCAACCCTCAGGGCAAGCCGGTCGTCGTCCTGCACGGCGGACCGGGCGGAGGCTGCCCTCCCTCCTACCGCCAGTATTTCGACGCGCAGCGCTACCGCATAATCATGTTTGACCAGCGTGGCGCCGGCAAGAGCACGCCGCTGGCGGAGCTGCGCGAGAATACGACCTGGCACCTGATTCGCGACATGGAGCAGCTACGAGAACAGCTGAATGTGGAGAAGTGGGTCGTCTTTGGCGGCTCCTGGGGGTCGACGCTCTCACTCGCCTACGCAGAGACGCACCCCGACCATGTCACAGCGCTGGTGCTCCGGGGCATCTTCCTGTGCCGGTGCGTATGCTCCCCCCTGGAACATATGCTACGGCTTGAGTATATGCACCTCCGCCTCCTGCCTCCGCCCCGCTCGCCCGCCTGCCCCGCTCTCACCGCCCGTGCCTCCTGCGCCCGCAGCTACCAAGAGATCCAGTTCATGTACCAGGCGCCAGAGTGGGAGCCTCGTTCACGGGCGCCAGCGTATGTGCGCGTCCAACACGTTTCGGCCTCGCCGGTAGGAGGGCACCAGTTGGATCTTCCCGTACGCGCACGAGAAGTTTGCACAACACATCCCCGCCGTCGAGCGAGGCGACCTCGTGAGCGCCTACCACCGGCGAGTCACATGCGACGACCCCGAGACGCGCCTCGCCGCCTCGATGGAGTGGACCGGCTGGGAGATGTGGGTGTCAAACCTGATCGTGGACGAGAAGAAGGTGGAGGAGGGGGAGGACCCCGACTTTGCAGAGTCGTTTGCGCGCATCGAGACGCACTATTTCACTCACTGCGGCTTCTTTCACAAGGAGAACCAGCTTATTGAGGACGTTGACAAGATCCGCGACATCCCCGCCACCATTGTGCAGGGGCGGTACGACGTCGTCTGCCCGATCAAGTCGTGCTGGGAGCTGCACACGGCCTGCGCGCAGCCCGCGCTCTCACGCTTCCGGACGGCGTTCGCGAGATTGCAACGCCACCGTAGGCCTGGCCGGAGGCGGACCTCAAGATTGTCAGCGACTCGGGGCACAGCATGAGCGAGGCGGGCATCACGAGCGAGCTTATCAAGGCCGAGCCTCCTTCCTTCCCACCCCTGTGCTCAAGCGCCACAGCCCAGTGCTCACGCGGAGCATCGGCCTTGGAACTCACAGGCGACAGACATGTACTCCGAACTTTGATCCAGCACCTGGAGGACCTCTGACGCACGACGCAGCGCCGGGCGCGGCGTCAACACGAACACACGTCTCTCGGACGCCACGTTTCGTCCGTGTAGAGCATCGTTCTTGATCTCTTCCCACCAAGTCTGTAAACTAAGGTCCGACCCTCTAAATGTTCGTCGCCGGGCACAGCGGTCAGCGCTGCTCGCACGCGCTGCAACCTGCGCAAAGCTGCGACCAAGTTTACACAACCAATCTCCAATCTCTCGCACAACACTGGGCACGGGACCGGCACGCACTGGCATTATCACACGCGATGTACAAGAAAACAACGGTACGTGAATGGCCTCCGATACGTGCTTACTACAGCACTTGCTACTTCGCCACACACGCCGCCACGTAGAACCAACCACATCCAGAGCGAACACACCTTCGCAAGATGAAATCCTTCGCGGTCGGTGTGGCAGAGATATCTCACGAGCCCGAGAGCCCTCGGTCCACCTTGTCTATTGCGCGGTCTAAGCGTCGTCATCGTCGTGCCAGGAGAAGTGGCGCCGCCGCCACACGGGATGCCCGTCCCACGGGGACGGGTCGGATTCGGAGGGCTCATACTTCTCATCCGGGCACGACTTGTAATCTTCAACGGTCTGGCTGCAGGGATACGTTGTCGATTTGGCGCCCCCGTCAATCTTGTTCAGGCCCGGGACGATTTGCTTCTTGCGCGACTGGACGCCTATGCAATGAGTAATGCCAGAGACCCGTCTGAGACACGCAAACCGGCGAAGGTTCCGTTATAACAATACGCGGCGCCCATGAGGTCGACAACGTAGACACCGTTTTTCAGGTACTCGCGAGGAGCCACGGTTGCGCCGTCCGCCGTCTCGAACCACTCGCCCATCACGAGCGCCTGTAGGCACAGCGGATTGAAGCCGGCATAAAACTGAGGATCGTGCTGAAGCCGTGAATGTGGAGTTCGGCGATTGTGTGGGTTTGGCGGGGGCGGGGGGAGGGAAGCCTTGGCGTACGGCCCGTAAGTGTGCTTGGTCAAAGGGTCCACGAAGCTGAAGTTTGTATAGTCGGCAGGATACGTTGGTGGACTTGGGATGTAAGTTGCCTTTGCCGGGAAACCGGGGAAGAACTCCTTGACCGACTCACGCACCTGCGGCCGCAGATCGTTCAAAAGGATTCCTCCTACCAGCATTACACGCTCAGCCAGGGGCGGGAGGGGTACGGGGAGGCCGCGGGGAGGGGCGCAGGGAGGGGTGCAGTCACGTCGATGATGAAGAAGAGGCAATCGCGCACGCTTGGATCCTCCACTTGATCCCTGATGAGCTGTGCTTTGCACGCCTCCCCCAGCTCCTTTGCCTGCGCGAAGAGAAGATCTGGAGTCACCGTTTCCTGCACGGCGATGCGGAGGTTGAACGTCTTGCCGTCCGGATCCTCAAAACCCTCCTGCGACCGGGATATGGGGAGAAGCGTGCTTAGAGGCGGCTCATATTTGATTAATTTGATGAGTGACAAGAACTACGAAAGGCCTGGATCTTCGAGTCGAGTAGCACAAGCTCCTGGGGCGTGTACGCGCTCACATTAGACTTCGCCACAAGCATCTGGTAGGTGAAGTTCTCCCAGCTGGCGACGCCGGCAAGAGGGGCAAGGTACCTATGGATGGTGATCGAGGTTGGAGCAACACTCGCCGGTCGCCATCCTCACGCTCACCGCCGCCACTCTCGCCGCCCCAACCGCTTCGCCCCACCACCACACTCGCCGCCGACATCTGACTCGACACCCCCGCCGCGCCCGCCGCCCCGCGCACTTCACCGCCGTCTTGTCTCCTTCGGTGGTTGTCGACGAGGTGAGTCCCAGCGTGTCCGACAAGATCGTGGCCAGCATCAGACCTGAGGAAGAAGAGCAGTCTGTGAACACGAGTGATGGCTCATGGTGAGGGAGGGGCAGGCCTTCGCGCGCTCCTGCGATGTTCTGCTTGCAGCCGAGGCCAGGAATCGCCCTGCCGGCGGCCCGCGAGCGGTGGTAGAGGGCGGAACCCGCCGAGGCAATGGGGCGGATGTCTATCTCCGTCGGGGCGCTTGTCGTGAGGCCGTCCAATTTGTGGTGATCTACGATGCTGTGAAGGTGATCCTTCACGACGTCTTTCGTCGTACCGGAGGGCATTTGGGCGATGGAGTTGGTGTCCACGACGGCAAAATCGGCCCCCACAGGCAGGGCGCTGATGTTGGGCAGGATCGGCGGCTCCTTCTCGCGGAAGTAGTCGAGGACAAAGGCCGTCTCCGGGTTGATCTCGTCAGTGTTGACGTACGCTTTGGCACACTGCTTGTGTGTCGGGCCCGAGAAGCCGGGAGAGTCATCCGGCGGTGGGTTGAGGAGCTCCCACGCGTAGATGATCGCTGCGCTGACCGCATCAGTATCCGGAGACGAATGGCCGAAGACGCCGATCTTTGTGGCTTCTTCCTCGCACGTGAACTGGGTGCCACACGTAGTGGGAGGGCGCGAATTGAAGGAAGACACGATTGGAAGCACGGAAAGCAGAAGGGGCAGCCTCATCATGCCTCGTCCGATCTCCTCCCGACGGCATCATCCAATGCCGCCGAGTTTCGCTGTGTGGGGTTGAATTCTTTTTCATCCGCCAGTCCGTGCTTTCCGCTTAGAGAGAGAGAGAGAGAGAGAGAGAGAGAGAGAGAGAGAGAGAGAGAGAGAGAGAGAGAGAGAGAGAGAGAGAGAGAGAGAGAGAGAGAGAGAGAGAGAGAGAGAGAGAGAGAGAGAGAGAGGCGCAAGCCGGGCTGATCCGGATGGGGAGCCGCCGAGCAGCAACAGTAGGTGCCCACCGGCGGAGATGAGGGAGGGTGAGCGCGGCGCGGGACGGCTGCGGGGCCTTAGAGATGCGCACATGGGCCGTGCCAGTCGGCATCTCGGTTGGCGCGAAAGCGGCAATACGCGAACGCGGCAATACTCACTGGTTGGCCGCCTCTTCTGATGTGGAGAATCGAGAGATGCCGTTACATACTCATGAGCTACGAGAAGGCGAGCACCTACTTCTTTATGCGCGGAATGCGGCCGTTACGATCTGAGTTATGTGTACGCCAACTCAGGGTGTGTGGCAGCCAGCTGGCTGTGTGTCTTGTGAGCTTGTTTGTGTCTGTGTGTCGTTCGTGCGTGTCGTCATCATCTGTCTCGCGTCCACCCATACCGCGTTGGTGTCCAGTCCGAGCCTGGCTGTTCTTCACCTTTCTACCTACCTACCTACGATCTCGGCTTTGAGGGTGATGGATTGTCCCGGACGAATTTCCTTCCTTCGCTTGCATCCCCCGATGGTACAACCGTGCGGGTGTCCAGTCACCGACCGCTGTGTGACTCGACTGTGTGACACGGTGTGTGTGTGTGGATACTCCCCACCGCCCCTCACTGTGTGTTGTGTGCGCAGGGCTTGGGAGTTCAAGTGCGGATCGTGCGTGGATCACGACTGCGACGACGATGACGGCGGACGACGACCGACGACGACGACGATGCGTCCCGCGCTGACGCCGAGCAAGACACTACTGCTGTGTGCTGATCTAGAATTATACACACGCCAAGTAGGTATTTTAATAAGGTAGGTAAAAAATTCTGCAATACAAAAAAAAGACAGCCCAAAAAACCACATGCGGTAGAAAGACTTTCACGACCGTCTCGTATTGAACTCACGCCTTCCCTCTCTCTCATTGTCTCAACCCGCACCTTCGACTTGGGCAGCAGCACAACCTGCTCAAGATCGCCGTGGCCCAAAACTGACCAAAAGCTCCACCGCGCCGGAGCTCCACACAACGCTGACGAGATTGGCTGGAGAAGCCTCCAGCCGACACTGCGAAACCGCGATGACGCGCCCGTGTTCGAACCATGCGTAGGACCTCGAGGCCGCCGGCGAGCGGGTCGGCGTCGGAGTGGGCGGCGGCGGTGGTGAGGCGATCGACGCGGCGGACTCGGAGGGCGCGGAGGCGGCGGCGCTCGTCGAGGAGATGATCCTGAGCCACTCTCGCGACGGGTGCTTGCCTCGGTCGGCCCAGCGGATCCTCTTCTTCCAGCAGGCTGCGAGAAGGCGAACGCGCCCACGAGACTCGCCGCCGCCGCGTGGCGGAAAAGGGGCGAACGCGAGGTATGGGGAGGTATGGGGAGATCTCGGCTAGATGTCGATGGGGAGATCTCGGCCAGATCTCGATGGGGAGATCTCGGCCAGATCTCGAGGAGATTTCGGCTAGGCCTCTCCGTGCGTCGAGAGCTCGAGCGCCACCGGGCCGCGCGCAGACGGGCTGCGTCCGCAAGTCCTCCTTCGGCTGCAGCTCCCGCTGGCCGAGCGGCTGCAGGTCGAGGGAGAGGCAGGTGGCGTGCGCGCGGGGCGCGAAGGTGCCCTCGTCGACGAAGACGAGGAACTTGCCGTCGGACGCGACGCGCGCGGGGCTGACGATCAGCCTCGGGGGACAAAATCTGCCTGTGCGGGCCCCCGACGCCACCCTCACAACTCATGACACACAGACACAGCTCACATAGGCTAGCAGCGGTGGCATGATGGGGAATGATACACAGCGTCGCATACGGCTAGCCGTACGCCGAACGGGGGGGGGGGGGGGCGGGGGGGGCAGATTCGTAGGTCGTAAAGCCGTACGGCTCAAGAGCGCGGGCGCGCGATCGACATCGAGGTCTTTACACTGCGTATCTTAGTGGACACAAGGCAAAGAGGACCGCATCACACCTCGCAACACACGCGAGACAAGCTCAAACCCACACGAGTCAGAGCCGACAGAGCATCGATCAGCGCACTCACCTCCTCTAATGGGACCGCGCGAGAGGCCGCGAGAGTAGCTCCTGCTCACCAGAGCGCCCACAGGAGCACAGGAGCACAGGCACACGACAGCCCTCCTCTCCGCCCAAAAAGGGGGGGGGGGGGGGGGGACTACCTGTCGCGCGCCAGCATCGGCGACGCCGACACGGAGGACGGCGCCGAGTTGGCAGCCGACGTCGCGAGCGACGAGGGCGCCGACGGCGGCGCCTTGCGCGCCATGGAGGGGGACGAGCGCGCAAACGAGAGGGAGGAGGAGAGCATCATCGGCGAGGGCGAGATCGTCCCCATCCCCGAGGCGGAGAAGGCCTTGACGAGATCGCCCATGTCCGCGACCAGGTCGAGGATGCGGACCTCCGACTCAAACTCGAGGCAGGGCGTCGGCGCGTCGAGGTCCTCCTCCTCGTCCGAGCCGCCGCCCCCCTCCGCCCCCCCGTCGCACGAGGAGCGCCGCTGCGGCTGGTCGCGCGACGCGGCGTGGATCGAGAAGGCGCCGCCCTCCTCACCATCCGAGAGGACAGTGGCGCAGAGGGACGCCTTGACCGAGAGGGCCATTACTGTTAATTAGTACTAGCTCGTTGCTTAGTTAATTATTAATTAACAAGTGGCGCAGAGGGGCGCCTTGACCGAGAGGGTCGGGTCGCGCAGGTACTTGCTGAGGACGCCGAGGGACAGCCCGAGCGGCCCGCGGATCTCGGGCGCACAGTGAGCGGCCAGCAGTGCATGGCCATGCTCGAGCAGCAGCGGCACGCGCGCCGAGATCTCGAGGTCCTGCCCGCGCAGGCAGAGGCGCGCGCCCGGCGCCGTGCGCATCTGCAGCATGCAAGCGCCTAATTAAGAACGCAGCCGAATTAAGCCTGATTAATTATTCATTCGGTGCGCATCTGCAGCATGCACGCGCCCAGCTCGAGGCCGTGGGAGGGCTGCGCGACCGTCGGCGGCGCAGCGACGGGCGCGGTGCGCGGCCGCGCAGAGAGCGCGTCGCCGAGGTTGAGCGCAGCCTTGGAGGTGTGCTCGGCCACGGAGTCCCGAGCCTAGAACAAACAAGAGAAACCGAACTGTGGCCGCCAGACAGAAGTACGGGTCGTCTCGGCCACGGAGTCCCGCGCCGCCGCCGCCGCCGCAATCGATTGCGGGCTCTTGTGCTGCTGCTGCGGCTTTGGCGCAGCCGCCGCAACCGTCGCCGCCGCCACGCCCGTCTGCGCGCCGTCGGCCGCGCCTCCGCCTCCCAGCTGTGCCGTGCGCACCCAGCGCCGGCGGCGCACAAACGTGATGGCCGTGGCGGACGCGCTCCATGGCCCTCGCCACGTGGGCGCGTACAGCCAGCCGTCCGAGCCGCTCGGCGCCTCACGCCGCCACTCGCCCGCCCAACGGCTGCAGTCGGGCGGCAGCAGCACCCGCTCCAGGGCCGTGAACCCGCGCGCGGGCGAGGACCCCTCGACAACGAACGCCGCCGGCGGCGCCTCGTCGGCGTAGAGCCGCTGCGTGAGCGAGTCGGACCCCCACGCACGCCACGGCGCGGCGCGGCGCTGGTGCTCGAAGACGCACACCCGCCTCAGCCTGCCGCGAGGCATCGAGACCGCCGCAACGTCAAAGACGCGCGGCGGGCAGGAGGCGGGCGAGGGCGGCGGCGGCTCCTCCTCCTCCCCCGGCGGCGGCGCGTGCTCGCGCTGCGACGGGTCCCACGCAGCGACCGCCTGTTCACAGCGGCGGGTGTGAAGAGACGCTGTTCACACCCTCCGACGGGTCCCACGCAGCGACCGCCTCGGCGGCCCCGACGAGCGGGCCGGTCGGCGCCTGCTCTGCGGCGAGGAAGTGTCTAGGAAGTGTCTAGGAAGTGTCTAGGAAGTGTCTAGGAAGTGTCTAGGAAGTGTCTAGGAAGTGTCTAGGAAGTGTCTCGGAAGTGTCTAGGAAGTGTCTAGGAAGTGTCTAGGAAGTCTCGGAGCCTGCTCTGCGGCCAGGTTGAGCCGTTGCTCCAGCGTCAGCTGGTCGCCGCTGCCGCCGAGGGCCGCCTCGAGGTCCGGCAGCGCCGAGGAGGCGACGGGCAGCGACTCGCGCGAGGCGGCGGCGGCGTGGGTCTGCAGCTCTGGCGGTGTGGGCAGCGGCAAGTGCTCGGGCGCCTGCACGAGGGAGACGTGGCAGCACTCGACACCGTGCATGAAGAGGGACACGCCGGCACGCCGCGCCACAAGCCGCGCGAGGCGGACACGCGGCTGGTGCTCGCTCGAGCGCTGCAGGTCGGCCGCCAGGCTCGCGAACTCCTCGAGGCCGAGTGTACCACCGCCGTCGACGTCGTACTTTGCAAGTACGCCCGCCGCCTCGCTGTGATCGGTGCGCAGCCCGAGCTCCTTGAGCGCCCTGCGGATCTCGTGCACGTCCAGCCCGCCTATTCACAGCAGTGCGGGTGTGAGGAGACGCTGTTCACACCTCTCTGCGGATCTCGTGCACGTCCAGCCCGCCTATTCACAGCAGTGCGGGTGTGAAGAGACGCTGTTCACACCTCTCTGCGGATCTCGCGCACGTCCAGCCCGCCTATTCACAGCAGTGCGGGTGTGAGGAGACGCTGTTCACACCTCTCTGCGGATCTCGTGCACGTCCAGCCCGCCTATTCACAGCAGTGCGGGTGTGAGGAGACGCTGTTCACACCTCTCTGCGGATCTCGTGCACGTCCAGCCCGCCTATTCACAGCAGTGCGGGTGTGAAGAGACGCTGTTCACACCTCTCTGCGGATCTCGCGCACGTCCAGCCCGCCTATTCACAGCAGTGGGGGTGTGAGGAGACGCTGTTCACACCTCTCTGCGGATCTCGTGCACGTCCAGCCCGCCTATTCACAGCAGTGCGGGTGTGAAGAGACGCTGCTCACACCTCTCTGCGGATCTCGTGCACGTCCAGCCCGCCTATTCACAGCAGTGCGGGTGTGAGGAGACGCTGCTCACACCTCTCTGCGGATCTCGTGCACGTCCAGCCCGCCTATTCACAGCAGTGCGGGTGTGAAGAGACGCTGTTCACACCTCTCTGCGGATCTCGCGCACGTCCAGCCCGCCTATTCACAGCAGTGCGGGTGTGAAGAGACGCTGCTCACACCTCTCTGCGGATCTCGTGCACGTCCAGCCCGCCTATTCACAGCAGTGGGGGTGTGAAGAGACGCTGTTCACACCTCTCTGCGGATCTCGTGCACGGCCAGCCCGCCTATTCACAGCAGTGCGGGTGTGAAGAGACGCTGTTCACACCTCTCTGCGGATCTCGTGCACGGCCAGCCCGCCTATTCACAGCAGTGGGGGTGTGAGGAGACGCTGTTCACACCTCTCTGCGGATCTCGTGCACGTCCAGCCCGCCTATTCACAGCAGTGCGGGTGTGAAGAGACGCTGCTCACACCTCTCTGCGGATCTCGTGCACGTCCAGCCCGCCTATTCACAGCAATGGGGGTGTGAAGAGACGCTGTTCACACCTCTCTGCGGATCTCGTGCACGTCCAGCCCGCCTATTCACAGCAGTGCGGGTGTGAGGAGACGCTGTTCACACCTCTCTGCGGACTTCGTGCACGGCCAGCCCGCCCGAGCCGTCCTTGTCGAACGAGCGGAAGGCCGCCTGCACTGTCCCGTCCGGGTCCAGAACGCCCAAGTCCGCGGCGGAGACCGCCGCGTGCGGCAAGCCGCCGCCGCCGTCGAGGGGGCGCGGCGCACCTAGAAAAGAAGAAAAGACCGTCCCCAAAAAGAAATACAGCGCCACCAGGGTTGCGGCGCACCTAGAACCAACGAAGCCAGGTGGAGAAACGAAATGCGGCGGGCCGTCGAGGCGGGCGCGGCGCACCGCCGCCGCCGATTGTGTCACCAAATGTGTCCGCGAGCGGAGGTAGGTTGTCGTGCAGCGTGGCGGGGCACGTCGCGTCGATCTGGACCTGGCCGTCGTCGCGGATGTGGGCGGCGAGGTTGTAGCCGGACACCTATAGAAAAGAAATCACCGTCCAGAATAGAAATGGAGGCGGCGAGGTTGTAGCCGGACACCAGCGGCGTGAAGAGCCACGAGGCGTACGGACCGTAGTCGATGGCGGCCTCGTCGGCGCGCAGCAGCGAGTTGCCGCTCGGCCCGCCGGTGAGGGAGAGGCCGACGGTGGCGGTGGCGTGGCGGACCGAGCGGCGGATGGCCGAGAGGAAGAGCGCCCCCTCGGCGGAGAGGCGGTCGAGGAAGGTTTTTGCAGAGCCGTGGTTCTTGCCCTCCTTGGCGAGCATCTCGCGCACCGCCGCGACGAGCGTGTCGAGCGCCGCGTCGGGCTCGAGCCCAAACGCCAGCCGCCGCACGACAAGCCGCACGGCCGCCGGCTTGCTGTCGAGCTCCGCGGCACGCTGCAGCAAGGCCGGCACCTCGGGAGCGGGTACTTTATGATCATGATCATTATCATTATTTATTCTTATCATTCTTGTGATGATTATTATTATTGAGGCGGGCACCTCGGGGGCGGGCACGCCGTACACGGCGGCGAGCGGCGCGAGGCCTGCCTCGAGGGCGCGAACCAAGCCGTCCATGTCGAGCTCGCCCAGCTGCGCAAACAGACGCAGCAGCCCTGCGAGTGTCGAGAAGCCGTCGGCAGCACATCTCCCCAGATCTCCCCAGATCTCCCCAGATCTCCCCAGATCTCCTGCGAGGGTCGAGAAGCCGTCGGCAGCACATCTCCCCAGATCTCCCCAGATCTCCCCAGATCTCCCCAGATCTCCCCAGATCTCCTGCGAGGGTCGAGAAGCCGTCGGCAGCACACCTCCTCATATCTCCCCAGATCTCCCCAGATCTCCCCAGATCTCCCCAGATCTCCCCAGATCTCCCCAGATCTCCCCAGATCTCCCCAAATCTCCTGGAAGGGAGGAGAAGCCGATGGCCGCAGATCTCCCCAGATCTCCCCAGATCTCCTCAGATCTCCGGGAAGGCGCGAGAAGCCGACGGCAGCAGATCTCCCCAGATCTCCCCAGATCTCCCCAGATCTCCCCCGATCTCCTGCGAGGGTCGGGAAGCCGTCGGCAGCAGATCTCCCGCAGAGCTCCCCGGATCTCCCCCGATGTCCCCAGAGCTCCTGCAAGCGTCACGAAGACGTCCGCCGCACGCCGCTACCCC